CTAATCAGCCTCGCGACCGCGAGCACTTGCAAGAAACACACTTTAACTCGGCTCGAGTTTACTTGTTGTCTCCGCGAACGAAAAGCTCGCTCGAAGCTAAGAATGCACAGCTACAGGTCCCAAATCAGAGCTGCATATACTCTGCTTTTTCGGCTTCGTTATGCCAAGAGATATCGTAAATTTTCTTTTTGATTATCTGAATTCCCAATAAAATCTAGTAGTTCTTTTGTTTTTGTTAATATCTCGACCACGAAGCATATCCAACAACTGATAGCTTCTCTCTTCGTTCTTATACCTTCCTTTCAGTCGGTAAGTGCAGACGTATTTTAATATATATCAATAATCCGGACCCCAATTGAGTACTTATAAACCCCTCGAACTCTGGCCTACCTATCCCACCACCTATTGTCTCTTATATTTTCTAAATGTATAATGAAAATTTTAAGTCGCGTTACTATCGTTAAATTTGTAATTTTTTCTAATAATGACATGGTATATTTCTTTATCGGGAACCTACTCGCGTCAATTATACACTAAATTCACATCCTAACACCCACCGGCGCCATGCCATCCTCTATTTCACTTGATAGCAGCCATTTATCGAAAAAATTCTCACACAATTAGGTGATTTCACAATCTCTATTCATCAAATGTATTCTTAATAGCACTATACCAACAATTTAACTCTATTAAGTATTCGATAATATAATTCTACTTCCCCTCATATTGTCATAATTTCATATTTTCTACTTCTTGGTTATACTATGTAGGTGTATTACTCTCGTGCAGATAAAAACGTCAATTTAGGTTGTGGCGTGATATAAATAGTGCAGCGTCTTGAATGCACTTTTAAACATGATTCATAATCTATATGTGAGCTAACCTTCTCATCTAGTGGAGGTTGTTCAGCATGTAAGCAAGGTTTTTTTTGCTATGTGCTAGTGGAGGAATGCTCAAAATAAAGTTCCATGTGCTAGTGGAAGAATGCTTTAAATAAATACATAAATACACATGCACGCGCACACAAGAGAAACACAAATATTAATGTGGTTCAGCACACACCGAGACCAATTGAGAATACAATGGTGAGATCAAAAACATCCATAATCCAACATCAATATCCAAGACCCCTGCTCAAGGATAATTGAATCCATAAGCTCCAAGTCCCATGGACTTTCTGCTCAATGATATCTTTTACATCTCTCTCTATCATACCTCTTGGCAGCTCCTCTACCCTTACAGCACCCTTGGCTACCTCCCCTCTTGTTACTTCTTCCCTTAGCCCTCTTGAGCTAATTACAACCAAAGTATGAAAAAGAATTCCATCAAACACTACAGCTTTCACACAGGTGTGAAGGGAAGCATATACAACCTACAATTTCAGACCTATGAATAAAAAAATAATAAGCATAAAGAGGATTTCTTACAAATTATGCCAATGACAAGTTTTTGGAAAATTATGTATGTGCCAATGGCCCCAGGACAGATGCTTGTAGCAACAGGGCCTCACGTAAATCTGTGGCTCTTGTAGCCATTTACCTTTGCCAAGTTTTCACATCTATTTGTTTTAGGTTGCAAGCAGCAATGTCCAGTCATACAAAGCATTAGTATTATTACGTATGTATCTATTGTGTACCACAAATACACAGACAATGATCCAAGCGTGAACCCAGGAACAAATAATAATAAATATCTATATAAATAAGCAACCTACAAATCCAAAGCCTGTAGTTCCATGAAAAAAAAAAAAGATACAATATTTGCTCAAAACCCTAAACTAGCTCCGGAAATAAAGGTCGGGAACAGATCTTAAGAAAAACAAAACAAAACAAAACAAAACAAAAAAAACCTCTACATTGAGGCTTGAGATTAAAATGATTACAAAAAGTAAGTAGAAAAAAATATAAGAGAAGAAAATAAATGGAGGGAGAGAAAATGTGTAAAGAAAATAGAGTAGAACCACAAAACCATACCAATAATCCTTGTTAATTCCCGTCGTAGCATAGAGCCAAAGTAGACTGGCTCGAGGTAGATTTGGAATCTGATATAGCAAAATAGTATATATACTGCAGTTAGTAACAAATAAAATTAGGGAAAATTACAACAACAACAACCACCAAAAAAATAAAAAATAAAAAAACCCAAGTTTGATCCTAGCTTAGTTGCACGAAGTGGAAGCGGAAGCAGAAGCGGGAGCGGGAGTGAGAGCGGGGAAGCGTGGCCATGTAAAGGAGTCGTAATTTGGGAGCTCTTATATATTATTTTTATTGAAATATTTTTAATTTATCTATATAAACATTTTTTTTAAAAAAAATTAATTAGCATATATATGTTAGAAATTTTTTATTTTTATGTAATATTTAATTAATTAAATATAACATAAAAAATATTTTTAAAAATGAATAACAAATAAAAGTAGTGAAGTGATATTTTTTAGAACACCAGTCATTATCTTTGAATAAAATTTATTATATTTTATTTAATAAAACAACATATATGTTTTATTTAAATATATTTTTTATTTTTTATTTTTTATCTTATATATTATTTTTATTGATAATATTTTTAATTTATATATATATTTTTAAATAATATATATAAATATATTGTGAGATATAATTTTTTTTTCTCCAATTAATATTTGAAATATATTATAACTATCATAACTTGTTATAAATTATATTTTATATTGTGTTATTAGATTTTACTTAGAATGAAAATTTGTTTATTTTGTGGATATAAAAATTAACATTAACTTAATATATATATATATATAACCCATTACATTTATTTATATTTATAAAGGTAAAATAAATAAATAGAAAATATATTAGAATAATTATAAATACATTTAATATTTATATTATAATCAAGAAAGAGAGAAGAGAGACTCAGCAGAATAAAAAAAAAAAACAAAAGAAAGAGAGAAGAGAGACTCAAACAGAGGCGAGGGAGGAGAGAGAGAGAAGAGGAGGAGGCGATCGAGAGAGAAGAAAAGTAGATCGAGAGACGAGACGAGATCGATCGACGGAGAGAGGAGACGAGATCGACCGATCTAGAGAAGACGAGTCATGAGATCGAGAGAAGAGGGACAAACAGATCGAGAGGAAGAGAAGAAGACAGATCCGCGACTAGATTCGCATTTCTCTAGCATCAAACTCGCGATTCTTCTACGAATCTGAGTCAGAAGCGCAGAATCGCGCTTTTGCGGAAGAATCATGAGCAAGTTGAACGATTCCTGCTACTATGTTCAAAACAATCACATAATACACATTCACAGTTCAAAACATCAAAAACCCACAAAAAATCAAAGAAAATCCATTTCAAAACAATCACAAAATACATGATTGGAAATGGGGCTTGGACAGATATGTGTCAGTTTGAGTATGCATCTATTTATGAGGATTTTCTTTTAGTGTTCTTTTAACATTTTACCATATGTCTGTTTATGGCTGGTATATTCTTATTCTTATTTCTTGAGCTAGCATCTGCTTATGGTTACATAGCTTTAGAATCAACATGTACTTATTGTCTGTTGTTTGGTATATATTTATTTCTCTCCCAGTGCTTTTCTTCTTGTGCGATATGGCTTTGGAGCTTCATTTGTTGCCCTTTTTGCTCAATTGGGTGGTGGAATATACACAAAAGCAGCTGATGTTGGAGTTGACCTTGTTGGTAAAGTAGAGCAGGGGATACCTGAAGATGATCCTCGCAATCCTGCTATCATTGCTGGTTTGGTATTTAATCAATTCTTTATTTATCTTCCTCGTATGCATACATAGAAAGTATTGCAGCTTGGAATGAATTCAGAGTATGAGGTTGGATTTTTACACATAAATTAGAATTTGGAGTAAATAAAATTGGTGGACCATGGTACTTGGTTGGCTACTATGGTTGCTGATCTAAACCATTATCAACAACGATGGTGGGTCAGAGAGTGGCACTGAAGAGTGGGTTTGCAACAATGGCGCCGAAGAGGGTGAGATTGGGTAGGAGATGGTGTGTTTGCATCTTTCTTTTGAAATTTGAGATAAAAATGTAATTTTTTTAACCTTTTCCGTTTCAAATGTGATGACAAGGGCAAAATTGATACGATTTCAAAAACTTTAGAGGTAAAATTGAAATTATTCCAAGTCTAGGAGTATAATTGATTATTAAGGCAAAGTATAAGAGTAAAAATGAAATTTCTCGTAAAAATATATAAAAAGTATATATAGAAATGTATCATGTTATAGTCAATTGAAAATTAAAATAAATAAAATATCTCCCACACAACCATATAATTGTGAGTTGACATAATTTACAAATTAAAAAGTTTCATAGTTTTTGAAATTATGGAAATTTCTCATTTTTTTGAATCTGAGCGTTTCTCTGTAAAAAAATTAGTTTTGCGCGAAACACAAATTTTGATAGATCTTGACGAGTTAGTGTAAAAAATATAAGTGGGCAAATTACCTGGAGCTTTCTTGAAGTTTGGAGAAAATATGATTAGCCTTCTAAATTTGAATTTTTTCTTCAAAGTTTGACATAATTTAATAAGGGTTAATTACAAGACTTTGTCAATTGTTAGCGAATATCATTTTACCCCTTTCATCTATGAATTTATACATATTGACCCACTTAAATATATCCATTTTGGAGGTGGTTAAAAAAGGATAAAGTGATATTCATTAATAATTGAGGGATTGTTGGTGTAATTCAACTTAATTAATTAATAACGCTTTTGTGTATCATGAAAATTACGACATTTTAGAAATTCGAATTAAAAATGTAATTTTTACACAAAACAATTGGGTTTTTAATTTTATATAATTTATAGTCAATATTAATATTGTTTGACAGATCTTGATAATTAAGTTTTAAAAATATAAATTTTATTAAAAATGAACATGTCTGACAAAAGTTATCGCATTTTAAAATTTAAAACATAAAAAACAAAGCAATATAGCACGTGTTAGTGCATCGACATGCACGGCGTTTGCGTACATCTTTGGTTCATCACCGAGGGTAATTTGGTCTAAGATGGAAAATTAATTTAAAAGTGGGATCTTATGGTTGAAAACTTTAGAACATGACTTCTAGTAGCATGAGTCTTGCAAACGGTAAACATGGTTTTTTTCTAAAATATTTTATTCGGACTATAAACACATTTTTTAAAAGCATGTTTTTGAAGCCCGCTTTACCCTATCTGCTTAAAGTGAAAAAATTAGCCTAATTGAGGAATAAAGTAATTGAAATGCCCTAATCAAGTTTATCCGATTCTATTTTGTTTGAAATCGGATTTTGTTGGTTTGATTTAGTTGGGTAATCGGATGTGGATTTAAATAAATGGATTAGATTATTCGGGCCAGATTCAGAAGAAACTCAATCTGTTGACACGCCTATTTATCTCTATTAATCTTTTTTTTAGATCTCACTGCATATTCCCTTCCTATTTGAAATCCCTTCCCCCTCTGCATCTTGTTTATAATATTTCTTTTTCTTGTTGGTTGCTTGAAGATCAATGGATCCAGAAATAGATTTTCGGACTTATCTATCATCATTGCTGGATACATCTGATACATCTCATGATGTTGATAATGAGGCATTTAGTCTTTCTCAATTGTTTGGGTATGACGAAGAACTAAAACATATTCCTCTACCTGCATGGTCTGATACACTTGATGGTGATGATTATGATTATGATGATGACCGTGATATGACCGAAGAAGAATTCCGGGTCTATAAAGATCAAGTTTCGAAGAGCGACACAAATAGAAATTTACAATTACATCGCTATCCCTATGGCATTTACATCACTACTTCTTTTGCTTATGTTTTATTTATTTTTTATTTGTTCTTTCGTTGTTTTAGGGGTTTGATGTATCGAACATTCCTGGTGTCAATGAGTTCCATCAAATTCTTCCAATGGACATTAACCAAGACACTAAAAACTACGAATGGTATTCGCAGCTTGCAGTTGATGAATACAACCGTCGCATCAAGGTTTTTGTTTATGTTTTGCTGAAACAGTCATTTAATTGATTATTTTATTTTACTTCATACTTAGGTTATTCATGACAACATTTGTAGGACGCCAATAGAGAGTTGGAGTTTGTGAAGGTTTTGAAGGCAATGGCTCAGGGTGCCAATGCAATCAGATTTTATATGACCGTCAACTCGAAGGATCTTGCCGGTGGAGGCAATATTAAGACATATCAAGCTGTGGTGCTAATGGGGGTAGGTTGTGAGATGTCAATGTTATCTTTTAGGCTCAAAGCTCCTGAGGATGAACAAGGTAAGGCAGATGCATTTTCTTTTTTGCAATTTCCACCCTTAAATGCTGAGATGACGAATAACTGATTAGAAAGTGTAGATGCTTGGGAATTATAAATATGCGGGTGATTGTTGAATCTTTGTTTTTCTTTAGCACAATATTGACTGCTATTTCATTTATTTGTTTAGACGTTGGAAAGTTTAGTATTTGAAGCTCCATTTGTTTTGGCAAATTTTTTTTCTACATTTTATGACGTTTGATACGACAGAAAATCGAATTCAATAAAAATATTTTTGTGCTCAAAACAAGCTTATTTGGGCAAAAATATTTTTAGTCTTTTAGACTTGGAAAGTGTTTTTTGACCTTGTATCTTACCAACCCCACTATCATTGTCACTATCCCTACCAACCACTACTCTACCACCATGCTGCCAATTTAACAAAACTATTTTCGTGCTCAATGGAAAACAAGTTTATTTAGGCAAAAAAATGTTTTTAGTTTTTTAAATGTGAAAAACATTTTTTGAACTTGTATCTTACCAACCTTACTATCATTGTCACTATCCCTACCAACCACTACTCTACCACTATGCTACCAATTTAACAAAAATATTTTCGTGCTCAATAGAAAACAAGCTTATTTAGGCACAAAATGTTTTTAGTTTTTTAAATGTGAAAAACATTCTTTGAACTTGTATCTTACCAACCCCACTACCATTGTCATTACCCCTACCAACCACTACTCTACCACTATGCTACCATTGCCATTGTCTCGTTAGCAGCTCACTGGTTCTTCCTCACCTGCCACAAAAAGCTCGCATAGTTGCTCAATGCCTACGCAGATGGTGGCTCCTCCTTAATTGTTATCTTCAAGTAATCATCAGCTATCTTTCAAAACAAAACAAAATAAAATCAAAGGCGAACAGCAACCCAACTTCAAATGATTAAGTTGACTAAATCATTTGTCCATCTTTCCTTCTAATAGAAGAGTGGACTACAACACAGTCTCCGTAGTTATGAGTTACCTTTTGCTGGCCGATAAGAAACTCCACATTCCCATCAAAGATGTGAACCTATCTTATATCTTTACTAAACGATAATTTGTCTTGTAAAGTTCAAATCTCTGTCATTTGAAAACAATTTCAACCTTCAAGAGTTCATGTGACTAACAAGTTTTAACTCAATTCTCTAG